TGCATTTCATTTTTTAATTGTTTTTTTTAACATTTCAGATGTATATATAATTATTCAAGACTCTGTTTAATGAATATTAGAAAATAAGAATATTTGTATAACAAATTCTCTGAACATAGGCGTACATATGTATTTTTTTTGTACATGCATATGTGCGCCTACTTATCGCTATTGCTGTGTTGAGTTCATGAATTTGATATTTTATTGATGCGGTTGAAACATTTAAGAACACACATTAGTGTGAGTCGTATGATTTTAAAAGGCTGATAACCCAGATAAGTGGTTATAACCATCTTTTTTTTCTTCTAATTGTTTACTGTAATTGAAATATAGCAGTGGGAATTTGTTCTTTATTAAATTAAATGCATTTCTAAGTTGTTTAGATCTGCTAGTAAAGGTTGAATTTAAGAATTATTCTATACTGATTCTACGTTACCATTTAGCACTGTATATAGTACCCAGTCCTATTCAAGAACACCATTTTTTTAAAATGAATAGTACCCACAGGTACTGTGTAAGAACCGGATACTATACATGGGGGATATAATAAATTAAATATAATTTTACTCAGAGGATAAAGTTAGAAAATACCTGGGTCTTAATTAAAGGGTGTATTATTTTTAGGATACTTTATGCAGTGCTAAACGGTAATATTGGCAAAATCGATAATTTAACAGCAAAGACTAGGGTTCAGAAAATTTATTCATCTTGCATTCAAACTATATATAAAACAATTAATTTAATGTAATTAAACAAAGTTACAGTTTTAAAATATTATCTTTATTGTTATTTTTTGTTTTTTATTGTGAGTTAATTTCATTTTTTTTAGATTACAAAGTTCTTAATAATTTAATTAAAAATTTTAAACTGTTACTTTGTTTAATTACATTAAACTAACCGTTTTATATATAATTTGCTAGAAAAAATAATTGGTATGTTAGATGAATCAATTTTTGAACACTAGTCTTTGCTATAAATTATCGACTTTGCCGATTTATGCATAAAATCTGCACTACTAAATTTTATTACAATACCTTACATACGTTTGATTAATTAGTACGTATATCAGAAACTTCAATGTACTACACAGAATACTACGCTGTACAATGATAAATATTTTTTTCATGTTTTTTTTTTATCAAATACAATATCTTTCTAGTTGAGTTAACAGCTTAATCTAAGAATTCAAATACCAAGATAAATCGAATAATTATTAGACTAAGCAACTTTGAGCGTTAATATGTCTTTACAAGAACAAGGACAATGAAATCGAATTATTAATAATAATTCAATTTTGCTAGACAGGCATTAGCATCATATGTGTAAACTATATACGTTTTACATCATATGAATATATGCTAAGTGAGAATATATATTACTTCGGATTAACAAACCTTATTGTTATAAATTTAGTAATAGTCTAATTTGTCGAATTATTTACAATTAAATAGCATTATGCATAAATAAAGATACAGGAATCGTGTGATATATGTATGCGAAATTGATTTGTAATATATGTATGTACTGTGAATTATTTAAAGTAGATTGGAATACGCAATATGCATATTGGTGCCTCAATTCTATTTTTGACAGGCCATGAATATTTTAGAGTGTTTTTTTTTTTTTTTTTTTTTTTTAGTGTCAGGTATGGGTGGGTGGAGATAGCCTTATAGTAAAGATTAATCAGCTGATTTCTGGAAGCTCCCTTACAGATTAGATCTAATGCTAAAATTTAGATTATTTAGATCGTGATCAATACTAAGTTTTTTTTTTTTTGTCTTTTTTTTTTCTATATATTTATTTTCTTTTCTTTTATATTTCGACCAGTTTGAATAAGAAGTTATTCTAACGCCAAAATTTTATTAACATATTAGTTTATACTATTAATTTGTATTTAATTATTTAAAAAAAAAATTTGAAAGTCTACTATTCAATATCCAATTGTATCTCATGCCATTCTATAACTACCTGCGGATTCGAATACATTATGTCTTCGGCAGTATTGGAAGGAGCTGTTTGTTGATATTTTTTTAAATGGTGTTTATTTTGCCTATAGTTAGCTATAAATTTGAGAGTAGGAAAGTATTTGCTGCACGTAGTGCAGTATAGTCGTTGATGAAGTTCTCGTGAAATTAATGGACAGCAGCGATCATATGGTAAGATTTTGAGCTTGTCGTAATATTGCAGGGCATGTATTGGGTTTATGTAATATTGATCTTTGCCTTTTATAATAGGCAGGAGGAATCCATTATTTTGATTCAAGAGAAGAGCTATGTCAGGTGCTCGATATTCATTACAATACAGAGAATTTTTACACTTTTTAATATTTAATGAATGATGACATATTTGTGTATGATCATCGACCCATTTTCATGATATCAAAGATCTCATTTCAGCAAATAGTTGTTTCACTTAGTTTACATATTCTGCTATGACTGGTTTGCCATTTATATCGTCTCTCTTTCATATATCACACAGACTTTTTCCTGCAAATTCAAAGTTTTTATGTGCCAAACCTTCATCTAACACTTTTCCTTGACTATCTAAGTAAGTTTCAAATTTATCGATAAGTAGTGTGATACCAGCAAGTCTTTCGAATAAAGAAGCCATGGAACGTTCGATGGAGTTATATGCACTCTGTACTGGGGCATGTTTACAAATAGTTAAGTAGTCTAGATCAAATGTACGAAAAAAGTTACAGTATTGAATTATATTTTTCAAATGTTTGGGATTCTCATCAGGTCCTCCATCAATGAGAAGAACCCAAACAGGTTTAACTTTGTCTTCTTTCATTATAGCCACAGCAAATTGCTGATTAGAAATAATACTCTGAAGGTCAGACATATAGATTAAGGATGATGTGCCAACGAAGTACTCAGGTCTAATAAAGATTGCAAGTTGACCAAGTCAAAGACTATCATTTGAGTTGGCTGGATTGATAACGAGATAAACTGAGGGTATGAGTTTTATTTTACTACCAACCAGAAAATTATAATCAGCAACTAAAATGGGTTCATTAATAGTTTGTATGGTTTTAAACGTGTGACCAACTGCCGGCACACCTAAACTGACTTTCGCCTTATCATCTTGAGAGATGATAACTGCATCATCAGCAAAAACTTCAGCTAAGGTCCAGACAGCTTTGACGGAAGCTAGACAATAATATTCATCAATATGAGATTTCATCTCTGTTTGTGCTATGGAGGCAAGGGCAACTTTGGCTGGATAATGATAGCGGCGTGCTGCAAATGTATACGGATAGTGAGGCACTAAATATGTGAATATACATTGACGAGATAAGTACACATTATACTTCTCTTCTAATGCTTGGTGAAGGTGTTTAATCGTGCACACTTTAATAATGACTTTTCTTCTTTGTTTATGCACAGCTCCAAATTCAATGCAATCATGAATTTTATCTCAAAAATCAGAGTGGATCATTGCTGCTGATAGCCTTCCAGGTCCTTCGTATTTTTCAACAATACCTTCATTAAGCAATTTTACTTTCTTTTCGGCTAGTTTTGCCTGTGCTTTGAAATGATGTTTTAGCTTTTTGAATTGTGTTTCTTGTTCATTGATTATTTTTTTTTCATTAACAATGTTTGATACCAATGTTTCCTTAAACAATTCATCCATTGAAATTAAAAACATTTGTTCATATTCCGATATCTTTTTAGTTGCTGATTTTACTTTTTGAAGTGTATCACATTGACATACAGCATTTTTAGATAACTCTTCTTCTTCATATTGCAAAGATATATTAATCAATGAAGTACAATTTGGCAAAGACGAATTATTAGAATTACTTGTGTCAGATTAGGTAAATTTTGATTTATGACTATAAACATGTGAAGGAACAGTACTAAAATAATGCTGTATTTTTTCATTTATTAATGTTTTACCTTCCTTTTTAATTTGTTTCCAGGCAAAATTACAATCCTTTATGAGTTGTTGACGATTTGGATTTAGGTTACAAAGAGATACTTGCTTATAATAAGCAAATGCATTACAAAACTGTTTATAGAGAGTTTGAGGCTCTTTATAAAAAAAAGTTTTATTAAAATTAGGTGTTGACAAAAAGCTTTGCATGGTTATGAAATTTTATAGTGGATTAATGATTGAAATTGCAAGACTCTGGAAACACCATTTGTATTGTCTGTTTACACTTTACAAACCAACTTTATTTGCTAATGACTTTTTTATAAGAAGTTACTTTAGGATTGTAGGTAGAGTCGATTTTTTTTAGTTTTTTTTTTTTTATTATTATTACTTAATCGTAGTGGAAGAAATTCGGGTAGCAAAGTCATGTATTAATGGTTGCTATGGGTAATCGAGAGAACAATACATGTATAAACATACAATTTTGCTTAAGGATTATATAGACTAGGCAATATATGTGTAATATGTAATATAAGGTATAAATCAGTATATTCTTTCTTGATAGATGAAAGGATATCTTAAATACATTTACAAACTATGGAGTATGATCTTGTGCCCAACTATCAACTTTCAACTTTTTAAGACAATAAGATAAGTAATTAAATTGTCTTGATGACAATGACTTGCATGTATAGTGTATTTGGTGTGAATTTTTTTACTTACTTTTTTTTAGTTCACAATCATAGCTACAACGAATATGCTTCATATATCAGTTTATTTTAATAATTGATAGTATGCAGACAACATGCTATACTACCTGAATTTTTTTAGTTAGTGTGAATAGTAACGGTAAGCCATTTTTTTATACTTACACAAATAAGGTTTGGATTATACACAAAAAACTTGTATATACTACTGAGGGCCTTTTTAGCAGTTCGCGTATTATTTACAAATTTAGAGACAGAGTGCCTTTATTTAGTTTAGTGATTTTTATACATCATTGATGCATAAAATTTACTAACCAAAAAAATACATTTTGCACTCAAATTTATAAATATATACATGAACTCACATGAACTGCTGAAAAGGCTTTTAGTATATATATAACTTAAAAATATGTTATATTCAGAGCTATGTATTATATATTTTATAGATCACTTTCTAAAACAGGTGTTGCGATTATCATTTTTATAAAAAAATAAAGTCGTGCTTCTTTATTATTAGGCCTTTTTAGCGGTTTATGTGGGTTCATATATATATATAAATTTGGGTACAAAGTGTATTTTTTGGTTAGTGAATTTTATGCATCAATGATATATAAAAATCACTAAACTAAATAAAGGCTCTCTGTCCCTAAAAATAATACGCAAATCACTGAAAAGGCCTATTAACACGATATCTAATCCAGAGGGCTAAACTTGTACATATCGCTTTTCCATTTCAGTAACAATTTTAATAAAAAGTTAGCTGAACATATAGTGACAGACTGCTAGTACATGTTATGATTATAATTCCACACCATTTTATTATAATAAAAATGTTGTGGGATTATAATCATAGCATGTACTAGCAGAATGATCTAGTATTGTAAAATATATTGCACACCATGAAGTCGACCTTTAAATAAACTTAAAGACATGATAAATCAAGAGCATGTATGCATGGCCCATAGCGATAGCACTTTAACTAAAAATAAGTTAGTCATAACTTGTAATGATTAGTTACAGATCTTCATTCACATGCTCTCAAATAATTTCTATTGAAATTAATAATTTGTAAAACTTTTTTTTAATTTGATTAAGTTAATTTGTTTGGGTTTTAAGCGAATTATTAAAGTCTTAAAAGTTAATATTTGTGTAGTTTATTTTGACTCAAGTTAAAAATTATACAATTCGAATACAAGAGTTTATATATGTTAAACGCTTTGCACTATATTATTATCAGGTGGGAGGTAGGGAGGGTAGTTTCTTAGTAAAACCCTAATCAGCTGATAAATGGCACTCCTTTAAGATGCAGGAAAGTAGCGAATAAAAAATACAGGATTCAGGGGCCTATGAATTTGCATTTAGTAGGTAGTGCAAGTCTAGGAACAGATATATCCAAGACCTTGTTATACTAAGAAAGTGAAGAATATTATGCAGAACATTATTTTGTTTCTTAGCAATCTGCAAATAAAGTAAAATGTACAGAAGGTATAATTTTTATAAATCTTCGACAAATAGAGAAACTTCAGTGCCATAGTTGGCTTATGTTGATAGACTCAACACACAAGACAAACAAACACAGTTGGAAGCTTTTTACCTTGTATATTCAAGACAACCATGAATGCTGGAAAAGCGGCTTAAATTTTTTTGTAAATACTGAGGATAGTATAACTATCGCAAGGGCGCTACAATTAATTTAAAGTAAATATCACGATTAGACTCCTCGGTATATCTTAATCAACCAAAGCAGTACCGAAGCTAACAGCATAAAAATAGCTTTCTCCAGTATTAGTGCTAGAAAACAAGAGTGTGAAATTTTTTTTGTACTATCCATTTAATATACACATGGATTTCAAAAATCTATAAAGATAAGGCCTGAAAAGCTATGATAGAAACTATGTACAAAAAAACAAAAACAGGTTGTGAGCAACTTGCTGTTCACAATTATGTTAGATGAAATTATGCGAATAATACTCACTGATGGGCTCTTTGGACGTGAAATCATTTTCCTCTTCTGCTCCAAGTAACTTCTACTAATGCATTGGAGTCTTTTCATAGCGAGCTAAAGACTATGATATCCTATTTACATGGGCTAGTTGGTGCATCTCACAAAATTGTTGCTCTTAATCGTAAAAAACAAATCGATACTAAAAGTGCCACTTTTAATTTTCGTATAAAAAAAGATGAAATCATTAAAAGAAATCCATAAGTTCTCTTATTCAATGCAATTGATGATCATAAAAGAAGCAAGTGCAGTAATGAATAGGTTGGCGAAATGTAAAGGTGCCCCAGGACTTACTTTTCTTAAATGTGACTGCTTGTTTTATAATAATTATATGTTGCTATGCAAATATATATTTCATGAATATAACTATAGTTTTTCCGATTATTGATCACTGAAGCCTGGAGAATGTTTCAAGAAATTTTTAAGGAAAGTGGTTATGAAGTGTATAAAGATCGAGAGTTAGTAAGTATAGAAGTATCAGAACAAAGTGAAGAACAAAAAAAAGCAGAAAATAAACAGCTTACTATTAATAAACTAACTGAAAGACTGTGAGAAAAATATTGGAGTATTAAAGAAAAAGGTGAAGCCAATAAAGCAGAGGTATTTATTTCCAGCCTAAAAGGTTCTCTGCATCCAGTTTTTAATATTAATTAAAGAAAAAAAATAGAATATGTGTCGAAGGCTAACTAAAAAAAAAAATATAGTCAAACCTCTATAAATGCAACCTCTATAAATGCAATACCTCTCTAAATACATGTTCCTGGCATAGCTGTAAGAAATCATTAGTGCTAAATGTACGTTCTATATTCTGCAAATGCATATTCACTCAAAAGATTTTCTATATTATACTAACCTCTCTAAATGCACGTAGCCAATCAAAATTCAGTATTCAAGTTGTGTTATACAAGCCTACAGATCAAACATTAAAAGCTGTAATTTGATTGGCTTTCTTTAAATGCAAACCTCTCTAAATGCACAATTGAAGTTGGTCTGTACACAGTGCACTTATAGAGGTTTGACTGTATGTATATAGAGATTCAAAGACTTTACTAAAAAAAAAGCATATGTATATAGAGATTCGAAGGTATACTAAAATAAAAAAAGATATATACATATATACAGGGTGCTGAAAATTGAATCACAATATTTAATTGACATTGTAACTATATATATATTAATGAAGTTTAATATGCTTCACACCTATGCGTTAAGGTTATATATCGCACCTTAATATGATTGGCTAATTTTGCAGATCATTATTTATAAAAAAATAAACAAATTTTGATTAATTTTCTTTAGATTAAAACTAACTTATAGAAAATAAAAAAATAGGTAAAATTTTTTGCAATTATATGCAAAATTTGATGCTGAACAAGTTTAATTAGAAACAAAAAAGACATTGACATAATAAAATCTAGAGAAAATATAAAAATATGCAAAAAAATATAAAAAATGCAAATATCTTTAAAATTTATTATGCTAACCTTTTTAAAGTTTGTTTCTAAGTAAACTTGTTCAGCATTAAATTTTGCATATAAATATAAAAAATTGTAACGTTTTACTTGATTTTTCTATAAGATTTTTTTAATCTAAAAAAAAATAATAAAAAATTAGTTTTTTTTGCAAAATAATGATCTGTAAAATTAGCCAATCATATTTAAGTGCGATATATAAGCATATTGCAGGGTACGAGATATGCATTTATTCAAAATATAAAATTAAATCTAAAAATTATAAAAAAAATTTGAGTCAATTTAATAAGATAGTTGTTGAGAAATTAATTTTTAAAGTTACTTTAAAATTTTTAGTAAAAATGTTAAAATTACTATGTTTTTACTATGTAAATCCAAAGTTATACAACACCTCTGATTTCCAAAAATGTGGTATATCTAAAGTGGAGTAGATTCTTATAATATATATTTTATCGAATTAACTTTAGGGTTATGGTCATCTTTGATTATAGTTAAAACAGACTTAAAATAATTATATATAAACAAAATTGCCTTCCCGATATTTTTATTTAGCTTACCCAAAGTAGGTTTAAACTGCTATTTTTTGAGTATGGTAGACATTTGTTTTAATTGGTCAAAAAAATGTAAACAAGTAAACAATATGCATAATGTAGATCATTATACAAATTTAGATATTTAATATAATTTAATTCATGATCTGCTAGTGAACTAGTAAAAACACAGTAAAAAATGAAAAAATTTACTATTGTCTTTGGAATCTGGAGTTTTCCAAAGAAAAAGTTTTTTACTTACTAAGTAAACCTCTTTTCAATACTTAAGTAAAGTTGTAAAGGAGTGTTTTATGATCAGAAAGGTAGTTAGAATGTTAAAATTAGCTCAGTGGATCTTCGCAACTATATGTTTTCTTCTTTATATAAATAAAGAAGAAAACATATAGTCATGAAGACTAAAATGCTTATATCTCTTGATCCACTGGGCTGATTTTAACAGTTTAACTACCATTCTAATCGCAAGACACTTCTCTACAAC